ATGTTCAGAACAGTGACAGTACCACAGAGATCTCAAGCTAAGCATGAAAGCCTGGAACTAATATCTTCTTGCTGCTTTCCTATCTAATAGGCCTGCTTGGGAATCTCGCTGCTGTGATACCAAGACCAAATGGATGTTTACTGAGGAAAAACCAGGAGTTGCAGCAAAGCAGACAGGAACGACAACATGACAGGACTCTAATCCGATGACACGTCCAACTGCACCCACATTAGGCAACCATTAAACAATGGTGAAGAGCACACCCAGGAAAGAGAGATCCAGCACCCTGGCTCCTGATCCGGCGTGGCCAGCTGTATAATGCTCTCCAGCAAGAAAAAGTAGGTAATCACAACCACTCACTTTTTATTCACAGAGATAGGAGAATGAAATCTGATTATGTCTGTGGAGTGCTTTGAGGCCTTTGGAACAAAGGTATTCCACAAATATATATTTCTAGGTATAGTTGTCTATGTGAGAGTGTGTGTGTGTGTGTGTGTGTGTGTGTGTGTGCTCCTTCTCTTGAGTAATAGGACAGAAAGAGAATTTCCTACATGACATGCCACGTACATTTCATAGTCTCTGTATGCTGTGTGCTCATATATCTAAACATTTTTACAGGTAAGTTGCTTTCTGTCTTATGAAAAACGTCTCCTGGCTGCATTGGGGTCTTAAATATCCATGCTACAAACTGGCAGCTTAGTGCTTTTCATTCAGTATCTAGCAGACGAGCAAATCCCAGGGCTGAGCTATTGATCCAGCTGAACTCACAAGCAGTATGTCCTTATTCTTCTGGTTCAGTAGCCTTGGATGTAGTATACAAAATAATTTGCCGCATTCTTCAAAGCTATTTTCCCTTGGGGTAGGAAAAACACGGTTGGAAAGATGCAAAGATATTTCACTACATTCAACAATAAAAGGAACATTTTAAATAAGTTTACTGACATAAAGAAGCCGACTTGTTTTGTTTATGTTTGGTGTTGTTTTTATTTTGTTTTACTCTGTATTTCCATAAAAAAAAAGGCCAAAGGAGTGTAACTTCAATCAAAACCCTTTTAAAATAATTTTAACCTGCCCACTGTAAGCTAATCTCTCACTCTTTTATCATTTGGGGTTTAGGGAAAACAATTTCCAAATCAGCTTTTATTAATGTTTATCACACTATTATTTCTTGCCCCTTTGTTCCTTTTTTCTAACTGATGTATCATATTATTGTCAAAACGTGAAACAATATTTTTCTGTCCCATATGAAAGACAAACAAGAAGAGAGAAGACAGAGAAACAGTTGGTGGTCACCATGAAAAGAAGAAACATGTCAAGGTCTTTATTTATTACCCCATTCTACTTTTAGAGACACAGCGTTTGAGTGCTCAGGAGGATGACCTGGATGCTTAGTCCAGTAAAGACTTTGAATTTAAATTGGAACTTGATCAAGACTTAAAAGCTAAATGATCAGTGCTGGTCTCTCTACAACTCAGTCCCTCCACCTGTAAAATGACCCTGCGTCATAAAATCAGTTTGAGACTCAGGTTTAAAAAAAAAAAGTGTTAAAAGCATTTACCACAATCCTAGAATATAGTAAGCACTCAAAAATAAGTACTTAATATTACGAATGGTAACACCAGTAGCAATAATGGCAGTCATGGGGACACAAAGCTATAGATCAAACTCAAATAAGTCAAACTCTTAAGAAAAATGTTTACTGCCTAGCACATTTTAGGCACTGTCTTAGACATTGTACTAGGCACTGGGGGATACCAATTAAGAAGAATAAGGCATGGTGTCTACCCTAAAGAACTAACTATCTAGTTAAAATGATACATGGGAAATATATTTAACAGAAGACAATTAACGATCAAATGAATAATAAAGGCAATCAAATGGGGGGTTTAGAGAATAGAGTTCATAGAATGGAATAGTAATAGCATTCATTATCAGACAAAAATGCAGAAATACGACATATATGTATATACACATACATAAATATATTGAGAGAGATTATTTCTCCAATATTTTTATTCAAAACTCACACACACATGCAATACACATAAATAGTAAACTGTCAGAAAACACGATCATTGCACCATCATCCAAATATTAAGTAGTTCTAGGAAATCAATCTCTATTTGATGAGCTGAAAGAAAAAAGCCAATCATAAAAAGATAATACAAGCAAGAATTTGAGTAGTCTAAGTAACCCATTGTCAAGTATTACATTTCAGTTTGCTTCTGGGAAATAAACTGGGCCAACATAGCTTATATCTATAAGAAATGAGGAAGTGGTCCTTTCTTTAAACAAAGGCAACAATTGGGCTGTAATTGAATAATCAGTAGTCTTTTCTGCAGGTGTACAGATAGTGCTCAGAGCACTGAATTGAAGATTTTATGTACATGAAGAATGAAAGGATGATTATCTAATAATTATCTTAGTGATCATATTAAGTAGGTGTTAATGAATTTTTAACAATTTAATTATTATTAGTTTTTTATTACTATTCACAATTTGGTTAAGTTTCAAGGAACCAAGATAAATTTATACTCAGGATGTTCATACTTATTGCTCAGTCTCCTATTATGCTGATATTATCTCATATTGGTGATATTTGAAAATAAAAACTATTTTAAAAGAGATCTAAATAGAATTTAAGTTTACTACTTTAGATTTACTTATACATTAATTCAATAAATGTTTTAAGAGTGGGGACACCACTGTGCATATAACACATAGAAAGGGGGACAAGTCAATACATATAATTACAAATTACATTTTATAGAAGAATTGATAAATAATGAAAAAATGGTATTAAAAAAAGAAGCAGAATACTACATGGATAGAGAATCTTTTTAGAACTCTCTTAGGAGATGAAATTTGAGCAGAGACCTCAGTGAAAAGATAGGGTGAACCATGCATGTGAAGCCTATGGTAAGATCATTTTAAGAGGAAGGAATAGGAAGTGCAAGGCCATGATGCTGAAGTGGACTTAAGTCATTTTCAAGAACATCAAGGAGGCCAGTATGTCTACAGGCCCAGAGAAGTCTAATAAATTGCCTGAAATTTTGCGCTGAGTTTTGAATATGAGAATTTGAATTTTTTTATCTATACTTGATGAACTTAGTTTTATGTATCCAAAACTGCCACTAACTGTGTTCTTTTAGAACACAGAAGAAAGAAGGTTAAAATTAATTTAAAGTGGTCCCAGGGTGGTAACCTCAGGAACCAGTCACTGTTAAAAGCAAAACCAGACAATAGTCAACAGACATAGCAAACTGCAGAAGTAAACCTGCAATGTCTTAAACTACTTGGAATTATTGGACAGAGAATATATATATCCTACAAAAGACTCCAGGGCCAGAATGATTTTCCAAAGAGTTCTATAAATTTAAAGAAAAAAGATAATTCCCAGGAAAATTACTTTAAGTGCATTTTTAAAATGCTACTTAATTACAAAACCACTGAAAAGTAACACAAAAATTAAAACTATAACAGGAATATTAAATAGGTTGTTTTAGTTTGAGTAAAATGCCTATCTTTTGCAGTCTGATTGATGTGCTAAAATGATTCTAAAACTTCATCTTGGTTTAGTTAGCAATGTCTGCTATGCCATTTTAAAATCTAAGAGAAGTAAAAATTGTCAACAAATACAATAAGTGTACTGAGACCTCTTTCAGACCAATAGTCAACTCTAATGCCTCCATGGGAAAGAGAAAAATTGGGCAAATGATACATACTACAATCTAAAGAAGCAGGAATATAAATAACCAATTAGCAAAAGAAGTATGTAATTTCTTTAGTAATAAAAGAAATAAAAATTAAACCAACCATGACACTGTATTAGCCTAGCAAGATGAACAAACAAATAAGAGAAAAAAAATTCACTCCTCCTCAGCACTAACAAGTGACTAGTCAAAGAGCCATGATCTGGTGACACATAATGTACTTCCTTAGAGTTTCAGACCTCTCCCACATGTGTGACTTACCGAATCTGTTCCCTGTATAATGAGGGAATGCTCCACTGCTTCATCATTATGCAGAACAAAATTATTTTAATGTGACTTCCGTCGGTGTTTTAGTCTATATTAGAAAAGATTTAATTATTATCTGGGATACTTTCCAGTGTTCCAGAGAAGTGATACGACTTTTCACAAATGAACTGAAAAGAGAAATCTAAAAGAAATTTCTATTTACCACCATGGATAGGATAGTGATTTCTCAAAATGAGGCCCAGTGATAGCCTACGTCCTAACCACACCCATCTGAACCTAGGAATCTGCATTGGTAACAAACTCCCAGGACTTGCTGATGCACACAAGTCTGAGATGCACTGATCCAGAGGAATCAGACAGAAAAATTAATCCATACTGGCACACAACAGGAGTCATAGATGCGCCTCGGAAACCCACGTCTGCAAAAGCAGCAAGCACATGAGGTAAGGCATTGCCACATGTAAAGGCCCTTGCAAAATCAGCCTGGGAGTCCAGAGAACCGCCTCCAAGAATGGGCCCTATGTCTGACCCTGGCAGCTGACTTGCTAGGCAGCTCTATGCACTGAAGCTGAAGTGAACGCAGTAGGACAACTCCAGGCAACTTTGCTCCCCAGCCTAACCCGGTGGGGGCAGCAGGAAGCCAGCTGTGCCATTCCCTTCTGGGCATTTCAGTTACGGCCACCCTTTCAGTCAGCACACAGACACTCTGGCTCAGCCTTTTACCTAATTCTCTCGAAGGTTACAATGGATCTAATTTTCTGATTTTTTGCATTACTGACCTATCTTCTTGCCATCTTCAGTGGCCGTGAATTATATGTCAATAAAAGATGAAGATGTATTCAAAATAGACAGTACAGAATAAACAATGCATTCAAACTTTTTTTTAAAAAAGAGCTACACACGAGAATCTTTTCTCTTGCAAATATAGACAGATGAATGGAGAATGTGATATTGGACACGATGGTGGCACTCTAACGGCAGTAAAGTATAACTGAGTACCTGTCAGCCTGGTCGTGGCTTGTTTGTTCACACTTTGGGCCAGTTTCACGAAAGGGAAAAACAGAACTGTATTTTTCCATTTGGAGAGCTGTAAAAAGAAAATGACATTTTTATTTGTTATATGAATAGTCTCCAATTGTTTCTTAGTTTCTTTGAAACCAGTTTTAAAAAATATTTCTGGGAACATTAATACATTTTCTTAAGTAACAAATTGTGCTTTTATCTATCTACATTTTCAGTTTCTCGATATACAGTGAGGACTTGCAAAATCACTTCAGCATTTCTGCAAAAGCCCAAATGTAAACAAAGAGTAAATACAAATGCCAGGAGTCTGTTAAAATTCGACAAATGTGCCCTCTACCCACTATGCTTTGCTTGAATTGGGTTCTTTGTGTCTCCATTTCCCCTGGCCTTGGCCAAGTGCATTTTGTCTCTCACTAGTGTCCTGATGATGATGACACAATAGTGTGCATTCATCGCAGTGGCATGTGCAGAACTATGGTTCAAGGTTCCGTCATTGTTTCCTCGGGGTAACCATTCCAGGGAGTGAGTTGTACTTGCCCTTAAGGATGAATACTATGAAATTTTGACTCTCTCGATGGCTAAAAGTCTCTTTTGTCCAAAATATTGTTTAATGTAACCATTTTTTTTATAGTACAGAAATAGTGCGTGAACACACAACACATTTTAAACAGTACATTAGGGGGAAAAAAGATAATATTATCTTTGCTCTCCCACCACCAAGATGTTCATAGATTCGGAGAGTTTGGCTAGAATTTACTTTTATCATAATTGTTGTGAAAGGGATATTGAATTCAGAATATATATAAAACAAGGAAGTAATTCCAAATAGTTGTGTCCGTATTCATCACTGATCACTAAAGGGACTGATTATAAACGTACTGGGAGCCTATCAGGAAGGCACTGTTGATTTACTTTACATAGATAAACAAGCCACATAAAAAATGAAAGTACAATGCTTACTGAATTGTAAGTGATTAAACATTAATGACTGTAAAGCTTAGTCAAACACTGAAAGTCTTAAAGTCTTCCACAGTACATCATGTTGAGTGTCAACGGATAAAACAGAATGCCAATATTAGTTGGAATGTTCTTGAAAAGAGTTAAGCTTTGTCAATAGCTATAAATGTACATGTGCCAATATCTAAAAATCTATCAATCTCTCCACACTGTTTGTAGAGGCTGGATTAGTCTGGCGGTACCAAAAATATTCTGGTACTGGTTGGCAGTGAAAATTAACAAATCCGTAAGTAATTTTATATGCACTTGTTTATTTTGTGTCATGTGTATGGGTGTTGGTATTGATATAATCATGTATTTATTATGTACACTAAAAGAAGAGATGGGATGAATAAATGAAATGTTTCTTTTTTTTTTCTTCTGAGCCTTTCGACAAAGTGGAATGCTATAGTGAAAGCAAGTTTAAACCTATATTGTCAAATATCAAACAATTATTAAAAAGGAAGCAAAAAAAAAGACAGTCATACATCTTGGTTTTTTTAATCTCAAAGAAGTCCTCGAACTCTGTCCTCAGCCACTTTGGACAGTCATGTTACAGGAATAATATATTTGAGTACAGGATAGGTGGCACTGTAATTCCAAATCTCTGTATTGTCCAGTGCCTCTACTTCTGTCACAGATGAATTCATTGCCTTATCTGACCAAAAAAAAAAAAAAAAAAAGACTGTTTGATCCTGCTATTAAAAGTTCATTTCATCAGCTTCAAAACAACTCTTTCACACAAGGAACCAAGGGAACAGAGTATTCCCACCAGCGTGGGAAATGCCTGCTGGTAACCATTCAGCAAGCGAGAGCATCATCAAAAAGGTACTGAAGGACAGGGTGCATGGTGCAAAGCATATTTGGAGTATATCTGGGAATTGAAATGGATCAGGTATGAGATGATATTCAGGAATAAGTTTTAGTTTTATTAGGTGCGATAATGTTATTTTCACAATACTACCATATTTCTCATGGCAAAGAAGTAAAGCCTTTAAGTAATGAGAGTCTATTTCACTGTTTCTTAATCTCTTCTGGCTTATGGGATTCTGAGACACAGGAAAAAGCTAGGGGTCCTTTGACAGAATAGTGCACCTGTGGACCTACACATACATTTTTTAATGAAGATCAGGGGATTTCTAAACTCCTAGTTAGTGGGAGAAACAGCCAAATTCACTGATGATGACAATAAGTACTGAACCTAAAAGACCATGACATTTACAGGACTTGAAGTAAATTTTACATATTTTAGGATCTGGGGGCCTTTGTGATGACTATAGAGATATGATTTGAACAAGTGTGGAAAAAAAGCCAATCAAGATGGAAGAAAGGATTCAGAGATACTTAAGGGCAAAGACGATCTTTTTCATGTTATATCCCTGGAGCCAAAAAGCCACCCCTGGCATATGTATGGTAGGCACAAAATAACCTTTGTTGAAAAAAGCAAAGGTTGTGGATAAGCCACCAACTAAATATTCATCCTTATAGTTCTTTGCCTGATGCTAAATGGTTCTTATACCTCTAAGGTAAAGACTCCCCCTTATATCACCCCCCTTCTTATTCCCTACCACCTCCAGCAGGGTCTGAGTAGCCTTTGCATTTCTCCTGTTGGTAGGAATCAACCCTGTGGCCATTAGACCATGATCTCTTTTGTATTAAGACAAAATGTTAGGGCCTAAGTATCACTGTAAAATGAAATAATATCTTTAGCGCTGCATTTAAAATAACAACCTGCCTAAAGGCAAAAATCTCTTCCCCCTCATCACCCAGTGAATCTATTTCACATTCTGCATTTGTTTGGTGAGCAGTCCCATCTCCAGACACTGTGAAAGAGAATCATGGGACTGGGATGAGTGTAGAAACTGGGAGAGACAGGCAATGCGGAAATAAACTGTGGTAGGATTGAAGAAAATTTGGCCCCAAAACACAGTCATTAAGTATGCACTGTGTTAATGATGAAGGTGGGGAAGGCAGACTGGAAAATGCATTTTGATATTTTAAAGATAATCCCCACTTCATCCAGATACTTTAATTTAAAGAAAAGCATTTTTACAAAGAGGAGAGCTTTGCCTTTGTAGACCTACTATTTTGGGTATGTCAGAGGGAATCCACATCATATTAGTTTAAAGATTAGAGAAACTATATTTTACTGATATACTTGAAGTAATTGCTGGAAAAAATATCCTGAATTCTTTGACATCTTGTGTTATTTCAAATTAAAAGACTTTGGCTTCAAACGTGTGTTAAAGAAAAATTCCACAAGTAAAATGCATATAGTACTGTACCTTGTAGTATTTTCTCTTAAAGTTAATTGGAGAAATGTTTACATAGAATCATTCACTTTGCAGCAATGTAGAAAAGCTAAGACTTTGTTGAAAGTTGTCCAGACCCCCCATTGCCACCACTACAACAATTTCAGCTGATAAAAGAATATCATGTATAGGTAAGAAATATGATAGCGTTTGTTGGACTGTTTTAAGTACTAGAAGTTAAAAATTTTAAGCCCTCCAAATAGAATAAATATATAAAGCCTTATAGATAAGATATCCTTCCACAAATTATAGTAGAATATAAAATAAAAAAGAAATCGTGCACTTGAAATGATCATCTGTGTAACGATATGTCTGAGGACAAGAAGATGTTTTGCAACATTAGACCAGGTTTTAAAACCTTAGATTAGGAGTCAACAAACTAGGGTCATTGATCCAAGTCCAGCCTGTGGCCTGTTTTTGCATGGCCCTCAGTCTAAGGATGGTTTTCAAAATTTTAAAGGGTTGTACAGAAAACAAAACAACGAGAAATATGTGACAGAGGCCATATGTAACTTCCAAAGCCTAAATTATTTATTCCTGGCCATTTACAGATATACCTTGCCAATTCCAGGTTCAGATTCTAATGTACTAGTGGCTAGCCTTCATGCACAATTTTGGATTCAGTTGGAAATGCCACATTATTGTACCAGAGATACCTCTCTTCTTCTGCAGCAATTTGTGCCAGTTTAGAGCCCCCCAAAAGATGAAAAACTTCTCTAGCAATGAATCAAATTATCAAATTTCTGTTAATTTAAATCATACTAATTATATTTGGCTTCCCTATCAGAAGTAATGCTTTAGAAATAAAGTGGTCCAATGAAAATTTTAGAATTGAAAATGTTTTGACATATTTTGAAGAAACATAGATCTGAAGTGCAAAACTCAGACTTTCTGGAGGCACTGAAAAATTCTTATACCCAACTGTAATACTCTTACAGTTGAGAATTCTTCAGAAAAAGCCATATCTGTCCATGTGTTTTTAAATATGCAGCTTCATGTGAAGATATTTAAATATTTTAATATAAGAAATTTTCAAAAGTATTCATTCAATTACATAAAATCCTTTTAATGTATTGAATTATCTTGTCAACTAACTCATACAGTTAAGAATTCAAGCTCAACTAATAGGATTTTGTCATTAACATTATTACTATTATTGATACTCTTTCTAAATTATATGCATGAAAATATAACTTATCATGGTATGGTACCAAAAACTAAGAGTGGTCTGGCAATGAGTAGTTAAAGGTTCCTGGATTATAAGCTAATAATATATTTCAGAATGGTCTTTTACACTTAATAGGAATTAATAACATAATTTTAACAAAGTTATTTTTCTCTTTTAAACAAGCCCTGCTTATAATGAAATGTCAAAAATATCTTATTTCTTATAATGTGAAATTATTAATTGTGGTTATATCTCTATTAAAAGTGGTATTTAGAGATAAAAGTATGAGAATGTGTTCTCATAAACAAAACAGCAATATTTTCCTATAGTTCATTTGAAAACTATTACAATTAAAAGAAACTAAATTGTGTTTTGAGAAGTACATTTCATGTAAACAAGAAATTCTCCTCTATTCAAAAGGTTTTATTAATAAATACACTATTTGCTCTTTGCCATAACTTTCATTTGAGAGGCTCACTCCAGAGGCCCTGAGAAACAGTAACAATATTCAAATCAAATGCTTAGACATTTCATAGTTTTTGAGTAATGAATTACTGCTATTTTGTGTTTTTTGGTAGTCTACTTGAA